TATCGCTCTAATCAAGAAAATAGTCTTAGTCACTTATATTTCCCACTAAAAATCGATTTTTATATGAGAAAACTAAAATCGGCTGTAGTTTCTTTATTAACGCTCTAATCAAGAAAATATTGAAAATCTGTGATCACTCATATTTCCCACTAATCATCGATTTTTATAGGGGAAAACTAAAATCGGCTGTTGTTTTTTAAATATCGCTCTAATCAAGAAAATAGTGAAAATCTGTGATCACTGATATTTCCCACTAAAAATCGATTTTTATATGAGAAAACTAAAATCGGCTGTAGTTTCTCTATTAACGCTCTAATCAAGAAAATGGTGAAAATCTGTGATCACTCATATTTCCCACTAAAAATCGATTTTTATATGAGAAAACTAAAATCGGCTGTAGTTTCTTTAATAAGGCTCTAAACAAGAAAATAGTGAAAATCTGTGATCACTTATATTTCCTACTAAAAATCGATTTTTATATAGGAAAGCTAAAATCGGCTGTAGTTTCTTTATTAACGCTCTAATTAAGAAAATAGTAAAAATCTGTGATCACTCATATTTCCCGCTAAAAATCGATTTTTATATAGGAAAACTAAAATCGGCTGTAGTTTCTCTATTAACGGTCTAATCAAGAAAATAGTGAAAATCTGTGATCACTCATATTTCCCGCTAAAAATCGATTTTTATATAGGAAAACTAAAATCGGCTGTAGTTTCTTTATATCGCTCTAATCAAGAAAATAGTGAAAATCTGTGATCACTTATATCTCCCACTAAAAATCGATTTTTATATGAGAAGATTAAAATCGGCTGTAGTTTCTTAAATAACGCTCTAATCAAGAAAATAGTGAAAATCTGTGATCACTCATATTTCCCACTAAAAATCCATTTTTATATAGGAAAACTAAAATCGGCTGTAGTTTCTTAAATAACGCTCTAATCAAGAAAATAGTGAAAATCTGTGATCACTCATATTTCCCACTAAAAATCGATTTTTATATAGGAAAACTAAAATCGGCTGTAGTTTCTTTAATATCGCTCTAATCAAGAAAATAGTGAAAATCTGTGATCACTTATATTTCCCACTAAAAATCGATTTTTATATGAGAAAACTAAAATCGGCTGTAGTTTCTTTATTAACGCTCTAATCAAGAAAATAGTGAAAATCTGTGATCACTCATATTTCCCACTAATCATCGATTTTTATATGGGAAAACTAAAATCGGCTGTTGTTTTTTAAATATCGCTCTAATCAAGAAAATAGTGAAAATCTGTGATCACTGATATTTCCCACTAAAAATCGATTTTTATATGAGAAAACTAAAATCGGCTGTAGTTTTTTAAATAACGCTCTAATCAAGAAAATACTGAAAATCTGTGATCACTCATATTTCCCACTAAAAATCGATTTTTATATGGGAAAACTAAAATCGGCTGTAGTTTCTTAAATAACGCTCTAACCAAGAAAATAGTGAAAATCTGTGATCACTCATATTTCCCACTAAAAATCGATTTTTATATAGGAAAACTAAAATCGGCTGTAGTTTCTTTAATATCGCTCTAATCAAGAAAATAGTGAAAATCTGTGATCACTTATATTTCCCACTAAAAATCGATTTTTATATGAGAAAACTAAAATCGGCTGTAGTTTCTTTATTAACGCTCTAATCAAGAAAATAGTGAAAATCTGTGATCACTCATATTTCCCACTAATCATCGATTTTTATATGGGAAAACTAAAATCGGCTGTTGTTTTTTAAATATCGCTCTAATCAAGAAAATAGTGAAAATCTGTGATCACTGATATTTCCCACTAAAAATCGATTTTTATATGAGAAAACTAAAATCGGCTGTAGTTTCTCTATTAACGCTCTAATCAAGAAAATGGTGAAAATCTGTGATCACTCATATTTTCCACTAAAAATCGATTTTTATATAGGAAAACTAAAATCGGCTGTAGTTTCGTTAATAAGGCTCTAATCAAGAAAATAGTGAAAATCTGTGATCACTCATATTTCCCACTAAAAATCGATTTTTATATAGGAAAACTAAAATCGGCTGTAGTTTCGTTTACAAGGCTCTAATCAAGAAAATAGTGAAAATCTGTGATCACTCATATTTCCCACTAAAAATCGATTTTTATATGGGAAAACTAAAATCGGCTGTAGTTTCTTAAATAACGCTCTAATCAAGAAAATAGTGAAAATCTGTGATCACTCATATTTCCCACAAAAAATCGATTTTTATATGAGAAAACTAAAATCGGCTGTAGTTTCTTTAATAAGGCTCTAAACAAGAAAATAGTGAAAATCTGTGATCACTTATATTTCCTACTAAAAATCGATTTTTATATAGGAAAGCTAAAATCGGCTGTAGTTTCTTTATTAACGCTCTAATTAAGAAAATAGTAAAAATCTGTGATCACTCATATTTCCCGCTAAAAATCGATTTTTATATAGGAAAACTAAAATCGGCTGTAGTTTCTCTATTAACGGTCTAATCAAGAAAATAGTGAAAATCTGTGATCACTCATATTTCCCGCTAAAAATCGATTTTTATATAGGAAAACTAAAATCGGCTGTAGTTTCTTTATATCGCTCTAATCAAGAAAATAGTGAAAATCTGTGATCACTTATATCTCCCACTAAAAATCGATTTTTATATGAGAAGATTAAAATCGGCTGTAGTTTCTTAAATAACGCTCTAATCAAGAAAATAGTGAAAATCTGTGATCACTCATATTTCCCACTAAAAATCCATTTTTATATAGGAAAACTAAAATCGGCTGTAGTTTCTTAAATAACGCTCTAATCAAGAAAATAGTGAAAATCTGTGATCACTCATATTTCCCACTAAAAATCGATTTTTATATAGGAAAACTAAAATCGGCTGTAGTTTCTTTAATATCGCTCTAATCAAGAAAATAGTGAAAATCTGTGATCACTTATATTTCCCACTAAAAATCGATTTTTATATGAGAAAACTAAAATCGGCTGTAGTTTCTTTATTAACGCTCTAATCAAGAAAATAGTGAAAATCTGTGATCACTCATATTTCCCACTAATCATCGATTTTTATATGGGAAAACTAAAATCGGCTGTTGTTTTTTAAATATCGCTCTAATCAAGAAAATAGTGAAAATCTGTGATCACTGATATTTCCCACTAAAAATCGATTTTTATATGAGAAAACTAAAATCGGCTGTAGTTTTTTAAATAACGCTCTAATCAAGAAAATACTGAAAATCTGTGATCACTCATATTTCCCACTAAAAATCGATTTTTATATGGGAAAACTAAAATCGGCTGTAGTTTCTTAAATAACGCTCTAACCAAGAAAATAGTGAAAATCTGTGATCACTCATATTTCCCACTAAAAATCGATTTTTATATAGGAAAACTAAAATCGGCTGTAGTTTCGTTTACAAGGCTCTAATCAAGAAAATAGTGAAAATCTGTGATCACTCATATTTCCCACTAAAAATCGATTTTTATATGGGAAAACTAAAATCGGCTGTAGTTTCTTAAATAACGCTCTAATCAAGAAAATAGTGAAAATCTGTGATCACTCATATTTCCCACAAAAAATCGATTTTTATATAGGAAAACTAAAATCGGCTGTAGTTTCTTTAATATCGCTCTAATCAAGAAATTAGTGAAAATCTGTGATCACTCATATTTCCCGCTAAAAATCGATTTTTATATAGAAAAACTAAAATCGGCTGTAGTTTCTTTAATATCGCTCTAATCAAGAAAATAGTGAAAATCTGTGATCACTTACATTTCCCACTTAAAATCGATTTTTATATAGGAAAACTAAAATCGGCTATAGTTTCTTAAATAACGCTCTAATCAAGAAAATAGTGAATATCTGTGATCACTCATATTTCCCACAAAAAATCGATTTTTATATAGGAAAACTAAAATCGGCTGTAGTTTTTTTTCTGTGTTCAAGAAAATTTTGAAATTTATTTTTTTTCAATTTTTGCAGCTTCATTACCTATCGCTCCTGCAAACACTTGGATGGCAAACACACCATATTTGGCAAACTGGTAGGCGGACTAGATACCCTACAAAAAATGGAACAAATAGAAGTAGATAATAAAGATCGTCCCATTGAGGATATAATCATAGAGTCAGCACAAGTATTTGTAGATCCTTTCAAAGAAGCCGAAGAACAATTGATTAAGGAAAGAGCGGAAGAAGTGGAAAAACAAAAACAAGAAATTAATGAAGAAAAGAAACAGAAACGCCTAAAAGAACCTTTAAAAGTGTATCGTGAAGGTGTGGGTAAATATTTAAATATACAAGCACTAAAACAAACCATTAAAGAGGATACAACAGCCGCTACTTCTTTAGCGGCGGGACCCATAAGAAAGAAAGCTTCATCTAAAGCAGGTTTTGGTGATTTTTCTTCCTGGTAAGTTAAAGAGAAATAATAAAAAAAGAAAAAATAAAAGAAAACAATAACAAAAGTATTTTTTTGGAAAATTTATTCCTTATTTTTCTTATCTTCCATTACTTTCTCTTGCTCTTCACGTTCCTTCCATTTTTGTTTCATTTCTTGCAATTTATTTTGTCGTCGTTTACGTTCATTGGATTTTTTATTTTCCAAAGCCTTTAGTTGAGCCTGTATAGAATGTTCACCATTGTAATGGACATCTAGTTTCTCTAAAAGAATTTTTCTAGCCTCTATCCTATTACGGGAGGCTAAACGATGTGTATGACATTTAACTAAAATATTTGTGGGTATATGACGTAGAAGCACACAATTAGAAGTTTTATTAACAGCTTGTCCTCCGGGACCACTGCCTCGAGTAAAGTGTTCTTCTAGTTCTTCTTCATTTAGTTTGGGATAACGTGAATAGTCTAGTTGTTGCTGTTTGGAGTTTAAGATGAAGGTATTTGTTAGGAATCTACAACTTATAGGTTTTGTGGTGTTGACAATCCAACTTAGATGTTGTTTTGCTAAACTAGACAGCCAGGAAATCATGTTTTGTTGTTGTTCTTCTACTACAAAATACGGCCTTTACGCAATAAAGTTTCTCCTCTCTGTAAAATATCAAATTTAGAACATTAATTATTATTATTTTTATGTTGTTCGTTCCTCTTTCTTCCTCTTACCTTAAAGTTAAATTCAATTTTATGTAATTCTGTTTCTTTACTATTTTCCCTAAACTCTCTGCGTACTCTGCCCAAGAAATAGGATTTATCTGTCAATTGCAATTGATTGCCGTAACGTATTAAATGTTTGTACAAACGTAAAACTTGTTGTTTGGAGGGTTGTAACATAATTTTAATTAATTTTTATAATTTGTTAATATTTTCTTCTTTATTTATAAAACTTGGATGTTTTTGCCGACTGTTGAACAACTTTTACCGCATTTTTTTTTTACTCTTCAGCTGTTTTGTTTTTCTTTTCTTTCTACAAACAGCTGTTCTTTGTTTATAAATAAACATGTGTTTACCGTTTGTGTGTTTGTTTTTGTTCAGGGTTGTATATAAGGGTAGTTGGTGTTTAAACGTTATTGTGACTGCTAAACTGTTTTAACACTGTTATTTTTAAATGTGTGTGTCGGGATTGGAAATTAATTAAAAAATATATCAAAAATGCATGATACAACCATATATAAAGTTATATTATGATAAAAATGTAGAGAAAATTAAATTTCTTTAAAAAAATTTTGTTCAAAATGTTTGAATTGGTTTTGTGGAATATTTTTGGTTTCGATATTGCTTCTGAAACCAGTTCTATAATGTTTGGGAATAACTGTAGTCAAAGACGATGACAGAACGAGTTATAAAAAACTTAATCTACTTTTTTTTTAGCAAAAAATTCGACTTTTTAAACAAAAAGAAAAAGTTGAAATTAATGGGAAAAAGGTCATTATAACGCCATTTGGCCAGAATTAAGTATAATCTGGTCTCTGGAACAAAAAGTTCTAAAAAAGTTCAGGTCTAGTTCTAGTTCAGTTCTAGTTCAGTTCTAGTTTAGTTCTAGTTTAGTTCTTGGTCAGTTCTAGTTCAGTTCTAGTTCAGTTCTTGTTCAGTTCTAGTTCAGTTCTAGTTCAGTTCTAGTTCAGTTCTAGTTCAGTTCTAGTTCAGTAGTTCAGTTCTAGTTCAGTTCTAGTTCAGTTCTAGTTCAGTTCTAGTTCAGTTCTAGTTCAGTTCTAGTTCAGTTCTAGTTCAGTTCTAGTTCAGTTCTAGTTCAGTTCTAGTTCAGTTCTAGTTCAGTTCTAGTTCAGTTCTAGTTCAGTTCTAGTTCAGTTCTAGTTCAGTTCTAGTTCAGTTCTAGTTCAGTTCTAGTTCAGTTCTAGTTCAGTTCTAGTTCAGTTCTAGTTCAGTTCTAGTTCAGTTCTAGTTCAGTTCTAGTTCAGTTCTAGTTCAGTTCTAGTTCAGTTCTAGTTCAGTTCTAGTTCAGTTCTAGTTCAGTTCTAGTTCAGTTCTAGTTCAGTTCTAGTTCAGTTCTAGTTCAGTTCTAGTTCAGTTCTAGTTCAGTTCTAGTTCAGTTCTAGTTCAGTTCTAGTTCAGTTCTAGTTCAGTTCTAGTTCAGTTCTAGTTCAGTTCTAGTTCAGTTCTAGTTCAGTTCTAGTTCAGTTCTAGTTCAGTTCTAGTTCAGTTCTAGTTCAGTTCTAGTTCAGTTCTAGTTCAGTTCTAGTTCAGTTCTAGTTCAGTTCTAGTTCAGTTCTAGTTCAGTTCTAGTTCAGTTCCAGTTCATTTCTAGTTCAGATCTAGTTCAGTTCTAGTTCAGTTCTAGTTCAGTTCTAGTTCAGTTCTAGTTCAGTTCTAGTTCAGTTCTAGTTCAGTTCTAGTTCAGTTCTAGTTCAGTTCTAGTTCAGTTCTAGTTCAGTTCTAGTTCAGTTCTAGTTCAGTTCTAGTTCAGTTCTAGTTCAGTTCTAGTTCAGTTCTAGTTCAGTTCTAGTTCAGTTCTAGTTCAGTTCTAGTTCAGTTCTAATTCAGTTCTAGTTCAGTTCTAGTTCAGTTCTAGTTCAGTTCTAGTTCAGTTCCAGTTCATTTCTAGTTCAGATCTAGTTCAGTTCTAGTTCAGTTCTAGTTCAGTTCTAGTTCAGTTCTAGTTCAGTTCTAGTTCAGTTCTAGTTCAGTTCTAGTTCAGTTCTAGTTCAGTTCTAGTTCTTCTAGTTCAGTTCTAGTTCAGTTCTAGTTCAGTTCTAGTTCAGTTCTAGTTCAGTTCTAGTTCAGTTATTGTTAAGTTCTAGTTCAGTTCTTGTTAAGTTCTATTTCAGTTCTAGCTAACACAATCACTAGCTATGTTAACATGTGTTGGTCTAGAGACTAATCTCTATACGACTGCATCCGCTCTCACTTACAAGGGACACTAAAGTAACGACTGTGTTCACTCTCGTTTAAAAATAACTGTCATTTGCTGATACATTGCAATCTATATTTTCTCTTTTTCGAACTCCTGATTATAGTATGAAGTGTAGACATTAGTCGCACATATCTTTCCAAAATCACATTCTAAAGCGAATAATATCGTGATGAAAAAAAGTTTGCTAACTCCTGTACAAAAAACTATTAACATCTATCACGCATTTTTAAAAGTTTATTGAATTTTATTAAAAATAAATTTTATTCCTTCAAAACCATTCTAAACCTTATCTAACTAGTTAATTGTTATATTCAATTTTGATAAAACCAAGTTTATAACAAATTCGTATAAAAAATTGAACTATATTCCCTAATCTTTTTATTTTGACACATAAATATCTGGCTGTTTATAAACATTTAAAGAAATCAACTTTTTCTGATGGATAAAACTGATTTCATATACATACTATGTATACACGCCTGCAATTTATAAAATTTTCAATTAAACAAAAATATTGCAATACGAAAAATTCATATAAATTATTTAATTTCAAATGCAAAATTGAAATCGTGCTGTGTGTTTTCCCAATCAATTCCTGTAATTTGCTGTAAAATTCAAATCAATACAAACATTCAATTAAACTCACTTAAAATTAAGATTTTAAACTTAGAAAAAAAACGAAAAAATATGACATTGATTTATTAGAAAAACGTTATATTTAAACGAGAAAAAAAAAGATATAAACCAAAAAACAGTTAAAATTTATTGAAATGTCACATTTTCGTAGCCAACATATACAAAAATTATACTCGTAATTTTCACATTTACAATAATGTCTATATGCATATAAAATTAACGAAAAACTCAAAATGGCGTTATAAAATGAATGTTCACATAAGTAGTAGTAGTAGATAGTAAATGTTCAAAACTCCACTATGACACTATTAACGTACAAAAAACAACGACATTCACCATGTTGTATTTTTCTCTAAAAATCGGTTATAGACTAGATTTTGACGACATACAAAAAAAATAGTGTTCAAACATACTCGTATTACACCAAAAACTATGCGTAATACTAAAACTAAAACATTTTTAAAACTAAATTTACAACGCTTGATTTTTTTTTTTGTTGGTATTTGTTTTAAAAAGTTGATTTTCATTTGTAGCTTTAGCCAATCCGCTTTAGACAGCTTAACAAATAAAAAAAAAAATCACCTTAAATTACAATTATTTAACAAAACCAAAAAAAAAAAAAAAAAAAAAAACGCAAAATATACATATGCGTATATAGACGTTTTTTAATTTAAATTTTGTTGTTGCAAATCAAACAGGTGTTGCAGGTCTTTAGGCCACAAAAATACACTCATTCACTCACCTGCACACACATACATACATACCTACGTACGCATAGAATTTGGTGAACGCATAAAGTATTTGAGTACTAAGAGGTTAGTTTAAAAAGGGGTTTCTTATATGTTATAGATCAGTTTATAGTCGAGACTATAGTACAGTCTATAGTCGAGACTAAAGAACAGTCTATAGACGAGACTATAGAACTGTCTATAGTCGAGACTATAGAACTGTCTATAGTCGAGACTATAGAACAGTCTATAGTCGAGACTATAGAACAGTCTATAGTCGAGACTATAGAACAGTCTATAGTCGAGACTATAGAACAGTCTATAGTCGAGACTATAGAACAGTCTATAGTCGAGACTATAGAACAGTCTATAGTCGAGACTATAGAACAGTCTATAGTCGAGAATATAGAACAGTCTATAGTCGAGACTATAGAACATTCTATAGTCGAGACTATAGAACAGTCTATAGTCGAGACTATAGAACAATCTATAGTCGAGACTACAGAACAGTCTATTGTCGAGACTATAGAAAAGTCTACAGTCGAGACTATAGAAAAGTCTATAGTCGAGACTATAGAACAGTCTATAGTCGAGACTATAGAACTGTCTATAGTCGAGACTATAGAACTGTCTATAGTCGAGACTATAGAATAGTCTATAGTCGAGATTATAGAACAGTCTATAGTCCAGACTATAGAACAGTCTACAGATCAGTCTGTAGTCGAGACTATAAAACAGTCTATAGTCGAGACTGTAGAAGAGTCTATAGACGAGACTATAGAACAGTCTATAGTCGAGACTATAGAACAGTCTATAGTCGAGACTATAGAACAGTCTATAGTCGAGACTATAGAACAGTCTATAGTCGAGACTGTAGAACAGTCTATAGTCCAGACTATAGAACAGTCTATAGTCGAGACTATAGAACAGTCTATAGTCGAGACTATACAACAGTCTATAGTCGAGACTATACAACAGTCTATAGTCGAGACTATAGAACTGTCTATAGTCGAGACTATAGAACTGTCTATAGTCGAGACTATAGAACTGTCTATAGTCGAGACTATAGAACTGTCTATAGTCGAGACTATAGAACTGTCTATAGTCGAGACTATAGAAGTGTCTATAGTACAGACTATAGAAGTGTCTATAGTACAGACTATAGAAGTGTCTATAGTACAGACTATAGAACTGTCTATAGTCGAGACTATAGAGCAGTCTATAGTAGAGACTATAGAACAGTCTATAGTCCAGATTATAGAACAGTCTATAGAAGAGATTATAGAACAGTCTATAGTCCAGACTATAGAACAGTCTCTAGTCCAGACTAAGGAACAGTCTATAGTCCAGACTATAGAACAGTCTCTAGTCCAGACTAAAGAACAGTCTATAGTCCAGACTATAGAACAGTCTATAGTCCAGACTATAGAACAGTCTATAGTCCAGACTATAGAACAGTCTATAGTCCAGACTATAGAACAGTTTATAGTCCAGACTATAGAACAGTCTATAGTCGAGACTATAAAACAGTCTATAGTCGAGACTGTAGAACAGTCTATAGTCGAGACTATAAAACAGTCTATAGTCGAGACTGTAGAAGAGTCTATAGACGAGACTATAAAACAGTCTATAGTCCAGACTATAGAACAGTCTACAGATCAGTCTGTAGTCGAGACTATAAAACAGTCTATAGTCGAGACTATACAACAGTCTATAGTCGAGACTATACAACAGTC